ACACAAAAAGGTGTACTCCTAGCATCTCCCTTTTTTTATTACGCACAAAATGTGAATAGGTTTCTGAGTTTCTCTCGTAGTTAAGCAAACTTAATTTTTTTTATTTACAAAATGCTACAAAGAAAAAAAAGTAAAAAATTAACAAAAGGTGAAGGTCCAACCAATTGGGGTAGCCTTTGAGGTTAGATGGGCCTAGAAGACAAAAAGGTGTACTCCTAGCATCTCCCTTTTTTTATTACGCACAAAATGTGAATAGGTTTCTGAGTTTCTCTCGTAGTTAAGCAAACTTAATTTTTTTTATTTACAAAATGCTACAAAGAAAAAAAAGTAAAAAATTAACAAAAGGTGAAAGTCCAACCAATTGGGGTAGCCTTTGAGGTTAGATGGGCCTAGAAGACAATGGGCCGTTGTCCTTCCATTGCTGAGAAGATGGGGTTTTCGCTGCTCTGTGAAACCAGCCTCACGCAATACCCACCATTTTAGGGGACAAGACTCCCATTCCTTCGAACAAGAACCTTGGCCCAACTCCCAGCTTGGATAGGGCGGCCCAATAATAGCTCCGAAGACCCGGCCCCGAGGGCAAGCCCAAAGTTCCAACACCCCATAGCCCCCACTCGGGTCACAAGCTCGCGTTACTGAGCTCGGCGTTCGAAGTTATTTACTAGTCGTTTATTAAGCACAGACAATTGCTCTGCCAAAACGGTGTGGGATATATACCATTCGTTGTTTCTTGACTTCTTTTTCACAACACTTTTGCTTTCTTTCAATTCCACTAAAAAAATCATTCTTAATTAAAACTTCGAATACGTTTTTTCCTCATAAAAATATGTTAATTTTTATCATGATGAATGGTTTCAAACATTGTCAAAATACTACACATTTTTATTGCACACAAAATACTACATAGAATATTTTATTCTCGTAGATACAATCTTAATTTTTTTGAGTTAATTATGATTTCGGTCACTATGAAAATAACAAGTTTTGCTTTTTGTACCTCCGAAATATTTTTAATTAAAACATCTCTATAGAATTATTATTTTTACACATAGTCCTCCCATAATTTAAATATTTGTTTTGATCCTTGTAAAATTTATAAATTTTATTTTTATTCCATTTAAAACTCTCTTTGTTCATTTAATTCTAGTTTTAAATTATTAAATACTCCGTTCATGATTATCTTATTCTTTTTCTATCCAGGATTTATTTAATTACAAGGTAAAAGTTAATGAAATAATTTTAAATACTTAATCGAATAACTACATTTTTACAAATTCATTTAAACATTTGCTAAAATATTATTTTATATTTTAGTAAATAAAATCTTTTGCTAAGTTAATACCATATTTCTGTTAAGTGTAATTTTTAGTATAAATTTTGAAACTCGTGATTTTTAGAAAAAAAATTTACTCTCAACATTTCGGACTATCCATGTAATTTTTACTATCAGAAAAATTTTTACTCTCAACATTTACTCTCTCACAGAAAAAAAGGAGTCAATATATGAATGGTTTAAAATGAGTTTATAGTTTACTTATAAAACTGCCACCCTCTCCATTTTATCCTCTCTCCAACATTTCTTTATTACCTCAGATTTAAGAACATATCAAAACTAAAAAAAAACAAGAACAACGAAGAAAATTTGGGGTTTTTTTCCCACAAAGATCCTAATAAGGTTTCAAACCCATACATAAGAATTCTTTTTTAAATTTGTTTTAATTTTGTTTATTTTTGAATCCAAAAGGGGACATGCAGAGGCCATTGTGATGATTTCTCATGCATGAAGAATTCGATCATCAGGTTTAGTTAATTAATTGCTCAATCTTCCCTAATTTCAAATAATAATAATTGTGAAACCATTGAAATTATCATTGCAATTTTGTAAAAAAAAATATTGTTTCATTGCTTTAGTATGTAATATAACTTTTATCTCATTGCTTCATTTCACATACATTTTGTAAAAACAAAAACCCTTTTTTTTCAATTTTTTACGACATTTCCATAATTCAGCAGCGAATATTCATTTACAAGTAAGATAATGTTCATTTTGCATATTTCTTTAATTTATTTTTGTTCTACACCTTATTGTGTTATACTACGTATATATTCTGTATAAATGTAAAAGAAATCGCCCTAAATGTAATGAGCATCGTGTAATTCTGAAATGCGCATACATATATTTCATTGCAATTTTTTTTATAGTTTTCCACTTCATCATTTGCCATTCTTCATTTTGGTTCAATGAAAATTCTTCCCTCAGCTTTAATATATAGTTTTTGTGCTCTAGAAATTCTTCAATTTGATCATATCCTAATGACCCGTGGATTGATCAATCTTATGGAATAATGCAATAAAACTCTGCAGATTATTAATCCATAATTAAGTAATTAACAAGAAGAAAAAGATGTTTGGGTTCAGCATAAGAACAAAACAGAATGCTTCTCCAAGAACAGCAACAGACTCTCCAAAGGTCCCCACTGCAAATGGCTCCCCAGCCTCTGTTGGCTTCTCCCCCAAACAAGTTGAGGTTGGGGAAATTGACACAAGTGCCCCTTTCCAATCCGTCAAAGCCGCTGTCAATTTGTTTCGCGATGTCGGCGCCTCCCCCGTGTCGCACCCAACCACCATCAAGAAACCCGCTAAAACCCCCGAAGAGGTATATATATATGATTGAGGCGGT